GCGCGACTATGTCCAAGGAGTTGAAATGTTATATGTCTTAATGTTTACAAGATTAATATTACTATTTGCTACAACTCTAACAAATAATTTGTAGTAATGCATTAATTTCGGCCAAATTTGATTATCAAAAAACGGTCTAAAAATCTTAAAAGATAGACATACCGACGACATTTTTAAGATAATTAAAAGAGGAATTATTCTTTTATACAATATGTTGGTTGCTTTCGCATCGCACTCAACGGAAGCCCTCAAAGATGAATAATTTTACCCGTTCCACATTTTTCACGGGTTCTTCGCTCGCTTCTCTATTGATCGCAAAATATACATTTAAATTCGAATCAGCAGTTTCTAGTATTATCGCGTTCAAACAAACAAAAATAATCTTCATCTGTATATAATCGTATATTTTGGCAAATGTCGAGAAGATTATCACCAAAAAGTTAAATACCAAATTTTACGCCTTAAAAAAAAATCTGTAAAAATGTGACATTCAAGTCAAGACCGTCAAATTAGTGCCCGATTGAAAACCGTTGATTAACGCGAAACGAAAGTGAAAATTACAATAGTATGGTTATTTAAGTAATTCGTGAACGTTTTAGCCGAGGGCCATGGAAATATGCTTTTAATTATAACGAGGCGGTGAAAGTTAATTTAAGCGTTTAGCCTTGTTAATAGTAATTGATATTATTTGGATAGTGGGGACTCGGGTGACGGTAATTACGATTAAGTAATTATGGACTAGGTGGATTTTAATTTGTTCTACTACTTGATTATGAATAGAATTGATTTCCGTCCTTTACAATACTATTATAAATGTCCCTAACTACTGCTAATAGGATTATTACTTCGTCGATATAACCTATTAATGTCTGCTGAGCGCAAGTCCAGAGCTGATCCAGAGTAGGTTGGTGGGTAAAAGGTTCGCCGACACTAATGTGGCAACGTTAAGCCGTTGGTTCGAGAAGTTATTACTTCTATACTAATATTATAAAGCTAAAGAATTGGTTTGTTTGTTTGTTCGAATGCGCTAATCTAAGGAGCTACTGGTTCGAAATGATAAATTCTTTGTGTTTCTAAGTTAGAATCAGATCATTTATCGAGGAAAGATTTAGGTTATTTAAAAGACAGATGGTTAATAATAATCGGGGGAAATTATTCTATTTTGAAGGTTTCCGTGGCATGTGCTGCGAAATCGGTCCGAGTGGTTAAAATATTGTATGAAAAAATTATTCTTCTTTAAATAATCTAAAAGATTTTGGCGACAGTATATATATGTCATAAGTTAACTTCCGAGAACCGTTTATATTTTTTTAATATATGGTAATTAAATTTCCTCGAAATACTTTATATGGCAAAAGAACGTTTACCAGATCAGCTGGTCTCGTGATAAAATAATAACATAATAATTACACCATGTAATACGCCACAAAGAAACCTGTAAATGCTATAAAGGTAAAAGTACTACTTAGCATAGATAGCTAAAACTATGCCAAGGAGAATCCTCGTTACTAATATTACTGTTCTAATTCCCTAGTTTTACCACTGTTAATTTCCTAAAGACGTAATCGATTATAGATTAACTACTATTTCCAAACACAACTCATTTAAACATATATAAAACGCGGAATGGTGGTTTTACACAAGTTTAAAAGGTTCGCGGGCTCTTTGATGCAATGGTGACGATTGTGTAAAATTTTATATGTAGGTCGCGGGTTCGATTCCCACCGGGTCCAAATTTTTTCGCATCTATTTAACTAAACCTTGGCCAAGTTAATATTCACAAAATTACATTTGTTCATTCTCATGTTTTCTTTAAATAAAACACCTTAACGGTCTTAAACGCGATATATATTAGTTAAACTTGTTTGAAAATGAGTTTAACTACGGCCAACGTATTTTAAACCGTACTACTCTCACAAACTACAGACAGTGTTTCATTCTCATGTTTGTTTGTTCGAACATTTTCGTGTCGGTCTAGTATTCGGTAATACCTTAAATGTATTTTGCCATGCTTTCACCGATTGTTTGACGTAAAACTAACGAAAGTGTTTCCAAGTTTACGGCCCAAGTAGATTCCATTTCACTTGACCCCCGCGACATCTCGGCTCTCATCAATATTCAACAGGATTCTTGTTGGAACTAATATTAACCAGAATTATTTTAACTGTAACTATTTTACATTATATAATATTATTGAGACGATTAAGTTTATTATTAAACACTTTAACGACTCAAAATGCGAAATGTATTAATCAGTGCACATATTTTTAACTGTTTAAAGTCCGTTTACTTTTGTTAAAAATATTATATTTTTTAAGTAATACACTCCAAACGGTTTGTGTGTGAGTTCCCGTTTCCCCCCTTGTGGAGCATGGGGCGAACACATTTCTGTGTTCGTTTCACTGATCCGTTCTTTAATAGGCAAGTAGTTGATCAGACTTCTGTGCCTTGCCCGACCGAAACATTTTTTTGTTTCCCTGGGTGAACCCAGAACCTCTCAGCGTAACAATCTAGGCACCGGCTACAGAGACGGTCTCTAACGGTTTAGAAAGCAAATTTTGTAAGTTAACTTATTTACAAGTTACTTTAATTAATTACGATGCTATAAGTTGGCTAATATTTCTTCATTTGTGTTTTAAATTGTTAAAAATGTTTTATTTAAATGTCTACTACTCGCGTAAACTATGGACATTATACATACATAATATTATATCTTTAATGTAAATAAAATAAATCGTGTATCTTAAGGCCAAATTTTGCATTATTTACTAGTGTTTCTACAATCTAATAGATTTGAGTAAATCAGTGATACTGCCAGGTTTCAAACCGTCTACGTCTAGTATTTAAACGAGGATTAAAACGGCGCTGCTGTGCACGATAGTTTAGAGTTATATCTGTCTTAGATAAAATATCTAAAGTATAACTATAAATTCGGGTATCGATTACGTATATCGGATAGGCACTTGAGAACGATCGCTATCGGTGGCCAATCAAAGGCTTTATAATGTCGTAACATTCATTACAACGTCATTATGTATACACTGAGCTCAATTACAGTTCTTATCTATCTGTCGGTTATTTTGATTATGCCCTAATTAATTATATTAGCAGTTTATTGTTCGGTTATCGCCTCTGTAATACGAAATGATTTATTATATTTTGTTTACTTATTTTTTTTATAGAACTCAGAAAGTGAAGCAATTTACTTTTGGACAAGACATATTAATCGTTAGGTGAGAAATGTAGATAAGTATTTATTATATTATAGCTTGACAAAAATGTTAATTACCTATGGGGTTAAGAAAATTATTTATTATTAGTTGTTATTGACTACGGCTGTGGCAAAGCCTTTGAATTGTCGGATTAAAATGGGTGAAGTGTGTTAAAAAAGTGTCCAAGAAAATTTTAAAGGGGTTTTTTTTGGGGCCCCCCCCCCGGGGGGGCCCCCAAAAAAAAAAACCCCTTTTTTTTTTTTTTCCCCCGAATTTTTTTCCCTAAAAAGCGTTATAATCGTCGCGGACAGGCCTTAATTAAAATAAATTGCAAAGAAGTTAACTTATTAACTTATAATTCTTCAGAAGTGTGTTTTTTAAAGATACAGATATAGATAAGATAATATTTTTAACAAAAGTAATCGACTTCAAACCGTGGGCTAAAAAATCGCGTAATTAATACATATTTTTAATAATATTTCATGTAATTTTGAAGTCGGTGCCAAGTAGTAAAAAGTCGTCAGTTTTTTAAAAGGAATTAACAATGTTAAGTTAAATATTTTTTTAGTCAATAGTTCAGTCAGTATATTTATTTCGAGTTTGTACACAAAATTGTCGACTCGAAATAATCGAGTAGGAGAATTTCCTATTCACGTTGTATACATTACAATTCATTCGTTTTTGTCGTATCGCAAATTTTTTGTCTAAGTGGTTGTAGGTATTGGGACAGTAAACGGTTTGAAATATAACTTTTATCTAAAACCGAATCAATGTTAGAAAGCAGCGCTTTCCTTCGGCAACGCTTTGTCATTGACAAATACGAAAATATCATGACTGATTGGTTCTTGACATTTTCTACGAGAGCACTCTCCAATTGTGGGGCCGTAATCTTTTTATTAATGTGATGTCATTTTGGATGTGGGACTGATGTAAAATACGGAGTTCTGCCATGCATAATATTTATAAAGGGGAAAAATTATATGTAAATCTCATATAATATTTTTGTTAAGAATAATGTAAGACGATGTTTTTCTGTGTTATGTCGGGCTCGCTGGTGTATTGGTAGGAACGTATACGATACTCACCGGGTCCAAAGTTTTTCTCATCCATTTTTCTAATAAACTCGATGTCAATAAAAAAACCAGGAAGTTTAGTCGCGCTTCGATTTCATTCAATGGATTTCCGAATATCCAAAGCCAAAATAGGTTGGTAGCGCATCTTGTTTAAAGGTTATATGGCTGGAGTATTTCATCCACCATCAAGTGAAACCATGGGGCTTCTCTTGTCTGTCTTGCTCTATCATAAAAAAGGCTTCCGAGTATTAAGGTAATTCTGTTAAGATCGGCTTGAAGACATTTTTAACGATACAATCAAGCAATTAAAGAAGATTATTGGCAACAAGTTATATTTTACAAAGTAGTAGTCCTTATTACAATTTCGATAAATAAAGTTTTATAAGTTTTTTAAAGATCGTTGATTAGAATCTACGAGGATTTGATTCAATTTACTAATGTATCATTAATTTACAAACATTAAGATCAAACGCCACGCAACCAGGCTTTATATTAACACTAATAAATTCTTAACATATTAATAATTTACCTAACTATATAATCTCAAATAACTTAACACCAAATGACTTGTTTTTTCTTAAGATTATTTTTTATTTAAAACAAGAACAATAATCTACTATTATAGTGCCTCGTAGATACAAATATATGTAAGACATTATTATAAGGACTGGATAAAATGTGATAGAACAGTGCGCAGTGTAACCAAAATATTAAAATGTGCAGTAAGGATCAGATTACACATATCCTTGGGAAGATCAATGTGGTAAGTTATTATTTTAAGTTATTTGTCTCCTTCCTTATTGGAATATTGATTATATATATTGTACTTGCTGTGCCAGCGACTTCGTACGCATAGAAAGTTTGTTTTTGCAATCTTCTATATTGTTATAAATTTAATCTGCCAACGACATCGGTCGCGTCGTTCGGGTCCTGTCGTTCAGGTTCAAAAAGGAATCATTCTTTCGTACATATTTTTTATCTTGAACCGTTATCGCAGCGTCTGCATCTGAAAACCAATTTCACAGTGAAAATTTCCCCATTTTGTTCACATTTCCCGCTGTATCTTTGCTTTTATTAGTCACAGCGCGATGTTTTATAGCCTATATTAATTATTATTTAATAGCCTTCTTCGATAAATGCTCTAATTAACACAAAAAAAGAATCAAACCGAACTTGTAGTTCCTGGTTCAAACAAACAAACTCTTCAGCTTTATATATCAGTATGGATATGACACACGAGCTCAATTGTTTAAAACCAGGAACGCTGTGGATGCCGGTTCTAGATAGATCTAAATAGATTATACTACAGACAGTAACTAAATTGATACTTTTAAACTGAAGAAAGATTCAATTCCTTCGTTCGGAATAATATATATAAATAAATGAACCGATAACGTGTTTTTTTTTTATAGGTTTTTTTTTTTTTTTTTTTTTTTTTTTTTCGTGAAAGCCCCAAATTTTTTTAAAATCTTTATTACAACATTTTTAATATTTTTTTTAGTTAATTAATTATTAATCACGCCCCTTTTTACACATTTTTATTATTTATTTAGTTAATTAATTTTTAATACCCTGACATATTAAAAGCGATTAGAATGTTACCATGTCTAGGTCGCGTTTTTAATACATCTACTCACATTAAAAAGGTAATTAAAATTTGTGCAATCTGAATTGCGTGATGCTGTTAGCTAAATATCATTGTTGACATATTTTGCAATGTTTTCAACAGTTTAATTCTAAATTGTGTGGCCACTTGTTAATATAATACGCATACAAAGTCGTTTTGGGTTGGTGAATTATATATGGAATTCAGTTTGTGCGGTTTGAGGGACCGGGTTCGATCCCCAGTCGGGTAATAAGGATATTATCTATATTAGCTTTGCTTTAGCTGTCAAAGTTAAATGTGTTGCCTCACCTTTGTGGTAAAACACAGTGGTTTGAATCCTGGGAAACGATAATTACCAATAATCATTTTTCGGTCGGGCAGAGCACACAAGTCTGCTCAGCTACTCGCCTTTATAAATATTAAAATCGATTAGTGAAACAGACGCAGAAAAGTGTTCGCCCCATGCCCCACAGGGATATATATATTTTTTACCTTTCTGTAAATTTTATTCTATCTTTAGTGTTCATTTAGCCTTTTGAATTCAACGTCAATTAGTTTCTTTGTAATATTACGAAAGTTAAGTTTAATTTATGTAAATGTAACATAATACATTCACATAAATGTATACATGAATACGTTTGAATTGATCATGTGGAAATGATCAGAAACAGTTCATGTGTGTATGGCTTAATAATGATGTAGTTTTAGTATAAATAACAAGTTTTACTTATCCATCGCATTGTTTCAGAGAAATCATTTAGTGCATAATTTGGTGTAGTGGTATATATAGTACTAGCTGAGTCAGCGACTTCGTCCGCTTAGAATAGTTATTTTGGACATCTAACATTGTTTTTGCAAACTGTCCTAACCTAACGACCCGTCGTTCTGTTCCCGTCGTTCTTGCCAGTTCGTCTTAAGGGGTAGACATATTTTGTCGCGGACATTTTTTTGATAATTTAAAGAAGAATCTCTGATCCATATTTTTTGTATCTTGAACTGACAAATATTAATAAGTTTTTACCGCATTTTCAGCTATTTCTTGGCTCCTATTAGTCACAGCGCAATGTTTTATTAGCCTTCCTCGATAAATGTTCTAACCGACAAAAACATATTGATTGTGATTAGCGCGTTCAGACAAACAAACAAACTCTTCAGCTTTATATGTTAGTATAGGTTAAGCAAATTCCAATCTCGTGATTAAGGTCAAAAATATAATTTTACTTTGTGTAATTTTTTTGGTATACTGCTCATAATTAAACGTATATCTTATATAAGGGATTTGTAGTTTGCAGTTTAATAGATGCAATAAAATGTCTTTTAGTCTGTGGACATTGCTTACAGTCTTCAAAATTAATGAGTCTGTAAGTGTCATTAAACACGGTTATGATATAAGAAAAATAATTTTCAAATAAGTTTAACTAATATATCGCGTTTTAAACCGTTAAAGTGTTTTATTTAAATGTGTACTACTCGCGTAAACTATAGACAGTATTTAAGAAAAACAATTATCCACAGAAATATTGAATTCTCTTCAGTTTTCATAGTGCGTTTCGCATAGTTTGTAGAGTGAACTGGACAATACAAATTGCAAGTGGTTTTATACAAGGGCACTTTGGAGAGTTAGGAAAGTGGTAAGCAAGTATTGCGTATTGGTAATCTTGGTTTTGCTCGATTGATTGAATTCAACGTCATTTTGTTATAATAAAATTGTTGTTTTAACATCATTACTTAGATTTACAGTGATTTCTGATTAAGATCAACGGATAGACTTGTTGCCTAAGATTTGCAAAATGCACGAAAGCGGTTACGGGAAGGCTATCTCTATAAAATCAATGAGTGAAACTGTAGAAATATATTAGCCCCCATACATAAAAAATGGGATTACTCTAAAATGATTTAAAGTACGATGTTTCTAGAGTGGCCTAATAACAAAATACAGGTTTTTCAATAAGGAGGAAAATAAAAAATGCGCAATTAACTAAGGCGAAAATTAATTTAACTATAGTTTGTGTAAAAATTATGTTAACAAATTTCGGCCTCAACAGCTCGTGTAGATTTTTAGACTATGAATGTATATAAATAAGTCATAAAAATTGCAGTAAGGCAACTCTGCCTCTAGAGGCCTCGTATATGTGTCATTTTGATATCTTTTATGTTGTCGTTACAATTCTTGTTCCAAGGGTTTATGTTTATATAAAAAAAATCACTCTCGTTAAAAACAGTGACTTACCCAAAAGTCTGTAAAAGGAAAGAAGTCTTCATCTCGTTAATTAAACAAAAGATCTCGTGAGATTATCATCAATCGCGACTGGTTTGAGAGATAATTGTGGGTGACGTCACACCTCCTTCGGTCACGATTCCTGACCCCTCGCCTCTCATCGACTGTTACTTTCTGTAGAAAGCGGTTTTTCCGGTGCACAAGGAAAAGTTAATATGCTTAGCTAATTTTTAGTGGCGCTTGACGTAGGTTCCATCTGCCTTCGAGTTTGCAGGAGGTAGCCTTTTGTGGAGTTGGGTTTAGTATATACATAGTTTTATCTTTATTTAAACGTATATAGATATCCACTAGTTACGTCCACTTCGTCACGACAGTAGGACAATGCAAAAGTCCAAGTATCTTCATAATTAATTTTAGATTTAAAAAAAATACGGCACGGGCAGTATCTACGTACTACTTGAATCGGCATTCCCAGAAATAATATTGCACAAGAGATGCATAATACGTTGAGAGAATTCGATTATGATGTGTGTTTCGGATGCTTTGCGTCGGCCATGGTCACGGGGAGACTAAAGATGAAGGGTGTCTCTGCTGTGAAAGTAAAAAATTCCGTCGTAGTTGGTATAGCGTTACTGTGTTATTTAAATCTAAATTAGGTTTTTATTTTATATAATGCCATTATGTGCAATAACATTTGAAAAATATAAACGCATTGCATAGCCGCGTAACTCTTAAAGAATTTTAAGTCCAAATTTGTGCAAATCACACCTGACGGTTATTTATAAGAATTGACAAAGTCACAGTTAATTCACCTTCTAAAGCACTAAAAATGAATAGCACAGTTATCTGCACAATCGTGATGCTGCAACGGATAGCATGTACCAGTTATCGTCGTGTCTGTCCATCTCTCGTAGGCGTCTTGATTGATGTCTCCGTGGAAACGGTATGCGGTTGCCGTTCACCATGGCCTCCGCTGTCTGTTCAACTCAACAGCTCTATTGACTTAAAATTGTAATGTACGCCATTAGTTTTCGATTGGACGGAAGAGTATTAACACTCATATAATTTGTCGGTATCGGTGTTGAAGGGTTTTGTCTTAGAGATCCTTGTAAGAGATCTGTGGAGGGTCAGCAGTTCATATATACTGATCATCCAGCCTGCTATCTTCCTACCTTTTCTTCCTTGTTTGGTAATGAAAATACCTATAATAATTAGACAACTTTATAATAAATTAATCAGTTATATCTTTACTTAGTGCTTGTTCGCAGCCTTGGTCAAATTTTGTCTCTGGTTGAATAACCAAAGTCAACCTATTGACAGTGCACCTTGAATTAGATGTTATATGGCTTGGGTATTTTACCTCCCATTAAGTAACCCTCATGCTTATGTGTCCTCCTCAGTAGTAAAAAAGAATCCCCAATCTTCATTTAAGACAAGATCTTCGCTTTAATTCTAATAACGTTACAATTCTGAGTTCTGACTCGTCTCAAGCGTGTGAATGTAGTTCGCGTTAGTGATTGTATCAAACTTTAGCTTCCGCGTGCTTGTCTACTTGACTTAACTCAGCTGACTCGGCTTCATGAAGGATGTCAGAGACCAGTTAGTGAAATTACCTATTACTTTGTTAGTTATTATCAATTATTGTTTTCAATGTTAGTTACCATCCTTAGAAATGGCTTGACCAGTTATAATGAATTGTATAAGCTAATGTTTTTCCATATACCTTAATGAGTAAGGTTGTCTATCCCAATTTCTTTTATTATTTTTATTAATATGTTGGCTTTAAAAACGCCTAAGGTGAACTTCACTTTTGACCTCAATATTTTGATATTTCACACTCCCTAATCAATCCCAATTCTGTTTCTTTTATTCATTTAACACGTTCTTACATATCAACAAATTGTTTTTTAGTATAAAAGTGCCCTAAACATAATTTATA